GGTCACCAAGTTTAGCTTCCACGAAGAGTCTGACGGCTTTATCAGACACGACGTTTGCAGTGTGTTTCTGACCAACTATATCGCCACAGCGGTAGAGAAAATGCCTCGACTCACGGACGTATCTTTCTACTTCCCAAGTTTGGAGGCGTCTCTCGCCGCTGAATTCTCGTCACTGTTCAGCTCGTTGCCACTAACGACCACGAAACTATCACTTAACGGCTTCATCTGCGGAAGCGTCGTATTCAACAACATTCAGCACCTCCAGAACCTAGCATACACGTGCCTTGTCGACTGTACGACCTTTCCATCACCCCATCGTCTCGTCGAGACCTTTACGGCTCTTCGTTCGCTCGGTCTAGCTCTTCAGGCTTCAAAGGCCATTGAGTTCACCTCGGTACTATCCCGCTCAGGGCTAGGCATAGGCATAAGAGGCTTACTGTTAATCATTGCACTTCCCGACCCCTCTCCCTCTTCGAAGCCCACTCCCATTGCTCCCCAGCTTGCAAAGCTGTTCCAAGGAGTTGTGGCAGCTTTCCCAAACCTGCGTTCCCTAGACGTCCGACTGGACTATCGCACCGTCGAGCTCAATGTGACCCCTCGCAGTACCAACGAACTACGCAAACCTTTCACACTGACGGTGGAGCACCTTGCCTGCCTCTCACAATTGACGGACCTCAAAACCTTTGTCCTCGTGATTGCGCAACGCGCCTTGGGGAAGGTCTCGCTGGATAATCAAGACATCGCGAAGTTGGTCTCGCAGTGGCCCGAGTTGACGACCTTGACCATCGGTCGCTCGTTGGGAGGGCAAGAGGATGGGAAGCTGAGACCGCTCTCCGCTCCCACGGCAGAGAAGGGGACGATGAAGAAGTTCCTTGACCTCCGGGTTCTGCACGTACTGGCGCGGTACTGCCCCAAGTTGAAGGTAGTCAGGCTCGACGGAACGTGCGGTATGAAGAGGGATGGGTTCATTTTTGGACGGCCGGGCGTCTTGCCTGGCTATGTCAAGCCTAATCTTCGGTTTTTGAATTTCAAAAGATCGGACTTGGGTACCACTCCCTTGTATCTGACTATCGAGGACGTGCTTGAAAGAGGAGTGATCGAAGATGTGGACTGGGACGGGCAAAACCTCGCTTTGTGCGACGGTTCGGATACGGAGGAACGGTTGGAAGACATTTGAACCGTCTAGGTACTGGTTGCTATAAATATTGGATGATTTGTAGATACTCGATCCTTTTCATTATCGGATGTGCAATATTCAGGCGGAAAGCATCCATAGGACCGCCCGTCTCCATAGACAGGTGCCGCATATTAATGATGCTAACGCCCGCCTAGCTCAATCGGATAGAGCGTCAGACTCTTAAAGCGGGTGATCTGAAGGCTGCGAGTTCGACCCTCGCGGTGGGCTACAAGTGAATACCGACCTAGCATTTTTTTTTCACGAGTTGCGTCCCTCCCACATTAACGTAGACTCTACATTGAGAACTAAAAGCGGACTCCGCACAAAGGTGCCTTCGTGCGGATCATATTACATTAGTTCTCTGAGTCGGGACATACACCTAAAAGACTATCTCTATCAACCGACTCAGTGTCCAATTCCCCTCCTCGTAGTGAGCCTCGAACGATCGTCTTTCCCAGAAAGATAGTATATGGAAAATCATCTCCTTCGTCGGATCCAATAGTGTTTGTTTTCCATCAGCTCAAATGAGTATTCGAAGCACTGATCTCGTCGAAGAGGTACATCGGTCTCTTCAAAGCCACTGCATGATCGATTCTGAAGACACGGCCTTCATCTTTCTAAAGGGTCATTTCTAAGCGTGGTGAGCTATGCTGTTTCCCTCCCTTCGAGATGCTCAGAACTGACGTTTATTGCACCGGGGAGGACGGAATCGAGAAGCCTGAGTGGTTGTCGACTTCGAATAGCTGGAGATGACAACCTGCGACAGTAGACTCTAGGGATCTAAGGCCACCTAGAGAAGCAAGGTTAATCAGTAAACCGCAATAGGAATTCAAATGAAGGGCACGAAGACGAGCGTAGAATGCAAATGGATGTACGTCTCCAAAGTGACACGGAAGGGGCGTGGAGGTCACGACAAGGGGAGAAGGGAAAGGGAGCGCAGAATATATAACAACGAACCTAATCACCATACGTATCCGTCCCCTTCACCTCCTTTCAAGATCCCGAATCACAGTACACAACGTTGCCAAATCCTTTCGATCCCCTCTCCCTATGCTGGGTGGGTTGACAACTCGCAACCGTCGCTGACAACCCCCTGGAATTGGATCACACTCATCCAAGTCTTCCGCTGCTCTGATTCCGAGTGGCGTGAGCGCCACCAGACACAAGTTCGATGCCGACGGTATGAGGAGTCAGAGAGTTCAAGGGCGCCGACTGTGACTGTAACCCATTTCCAGGCTTGCGAAGCCACCTAGAGAATCAGAATGAGTGGTGAGCGAAACAGCGAATCATAGGAATAAGCGAAGGGAAGCGGGGAACGGAATCCATAACAAACAGAGAGAAGAGCGGGAATATGAACAAGGGAGAACAAAACTTACTTATACGAAGACATAGAGCTTGGAGGAGAGGAGAGATATTCCCAAACACAAAACCGCCCCATCGCCGAATCGTCCAGAAGTCACCACATCGCGAAAGCACGGAGACTGCAGCCCGTTTTGCGATTTGTTGCTATTCTTCCGGAGCCATCACGCTACTGCTCGAAGGTGTCAGAGTATTTTGTCTCCTGGAATATTTCAATATACCCAGCGGGACACGCGTCAGCCTCGCGAGCATGTTCATGAGTGCCATCGAGGCCAGTTCGGAAAGGAAAGCTGGTTTTCTCGGTATCGATGGTGCCAGTGAGGTCACTTGGATCGCAGGGTTCAGTAAGGAAATCGTTTCTGAGACCCGCTTCTTGGAGTGATTGAACCCCAACGCGAGGTGTTTCCGAGATGACAGGTCCTTTCGCAACGAGAAGAATCAACCCCGACGTAGTCATGTACCGTGTCACCCCTACGAGCCTTGTGCAGATGCGGAGTGGGGGAAGAAGCTGGTGGGAGGAAGAGTGTTGCAGAACATGACAGTGGACTGAGGCAAAGCGTTTCCCCTGCTGCCACTGTGGTCGAGACCCAGCGGCTGGTGGTTTCATGGTAACAATGGAGTTTAAGGGTCGAAATCCTGGAACATTGTGGATGCCAAAGGTCGTCCCAGTCGGATAGAGTTCGTTGGCTGGTTGTGACGATCAGAAATTGGGTTACTGGGATAACACTAAGCTTGTAAGCGAACAACGAACAGCAGGGTACAAGGCGAAAATAGAGAATAGGAATGAGGCGATTCAGAAGAGAGATAACAGAGAACTCACAACACGTCTTCACCGAGAAAAACCGACCATAAGCTCAACTCCATACACAACAACTTGAATTAGCTCCACAAAATTTCCCTCGGTGCCCAAGAGGAATGGTTCGACGAGCCAAGGGGATAATGGATTGCAGGAGAACGTTCTGGCGTTGATCGACGAACCAGGACCCACAAGACATAAAACACCCTTCCAACTCAGCATGAGCAGCATCCAAAAGGCATCCTCTTCTGCGGCAGACGAGCAAGTTGATGTCACGAACAGTGGTGCTGCTCTGCATCCAACCGACGCTTTTGGCATAGAAAAACCTAAGGATTCTATAGCAGGTTGACCGGTCACTGTTGCGGTAGGGAGTAGTTGGCTGTGTTGTTTCTTATAAGCAGATATTGTCTCATGACGCGACGATGGAGTATATCCAAAGATGGGCAATCGTAGCGTTGGTCGAAAGAAGAAACCATGATCACAAGGCGGGATATGAGGTCGAGTTCCATGGATTGCTTGCTTTTTACGAAGAACACTGATAAGGTGGTAGAAAATGACAGTGACATTGAGTAGCCGGTCGTCGTGGGTGTTCAACTTAGCGAGCGGCTGTGTGGGCGTGAATGCTTGAATCAGAACACCGTGACCATCGCACCGCGGACCGGCCCATAGCGACCTCACGTGCAAGATTCAATGATTGAATGATACCCTTCTTCTCAGGAGTTCGCAGTCGTAAAAATCATGATTTTTATAAGTAGGAAAAGGATAGTCGACATATGACTTGCATATAGCCCACCGCGAGGGTCGAACTCGCAGCCTTCAGATGCCCTTCCTTAAAAGTCTGACGCTCTATCCGATTGAGCTAGGCGGGCATATTGAGAGGTTCCAATCACAGTTAATAATCGGCCCGCTTGTCCGTACTCTCAATGTATAGATTGGTTCGGGAATTATTCAGGAATCAGCCAAGATCCCGCTCAGTTTCTTAACCCTGTGAATCACTAGCCCGTTTTCGGCACGTATCCAATATCCGATGGTCGTAGAGCATTCTCGACTCGTTCCGTGAGGCCTTATGCATCCATGTCTTGGCCCGACTGCCGACGAAGGTCTTTTCCTAATCATCCTGGCATCTCCCATGACGGCGAATCATCACAACGAAGCTATGCTGTGAGAAACTCACCTCATACATATATCGTTGTGTCCAACAGCCCAATAGCTCGCGAACCTCAGTAATTAGGTTACGGGGAACAGCAACCAAGGGTCCTTCTCCCGCCTCCATCGTGGCAACATGACCGATCATAAATTGATACCTCAACGGTAGCAATCCATGTACTTGAACCCCGGTCAGTCTAAAGCTGGCAGCAAGAACTGAAGCGCCTACGAGCCGAGGCCTAATCATCGATCCTATTTATGAGAGTAAGGGGTTTGAAATTATGCATATATGTAGAGACTGTGTACATCCCTAAGTAACTGAAAACATGGACATTGGATCATCTCTCACCAGCTTGACGAACAGATTCGTCGATTGGGTTCCGATCAGCGCATGTAGTGAGAGGCTTGTCATGTATTTATGTGAATGTTTATTGTTACTACCGCAAACGAACGCTTTTGTAGACTAAAACGGCTTGCTACGGCATGGATGGTATAGCGGCGTATGTAATGCTACCTTGTGTCGGTCTAATAGTGTAGTGGTTATCACAGTGGATTTTGATCTTGCAAGACTACGCAGGTTGCCTTCCATTAACCCAGGTTCGAATCCTGGTTAGACCTCCATTTTTTGATATCATATTTTCGGAAATATTTATCAAGTGCTCCCTCGGCGGGACTAGGTAAGCTAGTCCACTCCAAGGTCTTGCACTTCCATAGTGACTTCCATTTCCCTCTCTCGAATACTTAACAATCACCTCGATACCTCATCCCTCTCTCTAACGAATCCAAGGCAAAACCGGCCACAGTGGGACAGTGTGGACTCGCATGGCGTATGTGGGAAGGGCTCAAAGTCTAGAGGCCACTTTCCAAGAGTCCCAAAGGCTCCCAAGCAACGGCGATCCGGGGATGCCGGCGAAATCTGAACGTAACACTTCCCAAATTCCAGTGAATGGAATGTTACATATATTAGTAACTTTTGCACCCTCTCGCTCCTTCGAAAATACCCGTTGAATAGAGCAAGTTCTGATTCTCTCCACGGTCCATCACGAAAGCTGCATGCGAGGATCAGCATTTCTGAGCACCCCGCTCTGGAGTTTTAGTAACTCCTTGTGGCGATCGACTGTTGAAAGGGCCTTTCCGATTTCCCGAGGAGTCTATTTGGAACCTATAGGTATGATATTGTAGCTCACCACACAACTCACACGCATTGACGCTGCCCGCGGGCTTGAGGTCCAAGTTAGCTCGGCGTTCCAATCCTCAGCGGCTGGTGGCTATTTCGAGGCTGACTTGAGGAACGGCTTCTTCCGACATAAGGAGCAGCGTATGCATGATGTACGGAGAACCTTACGAGCTATAACAAATTACCGACAGCCGAAGCCCCAGAACTCGCATGGACGACTGTGTTGAACATTCACCCTGAGGTATTGGAAAACTAGGTTCGTTTGACGTTCATTCGAGAAACGAAGTTCGCGTAGATCTTGCTCACTCACTCACTCGGATCGTTAGCCTGGCGACGCCAGTTTCTCGAGACCCTACGCCGTCATCCCCGCTATTATTTAAATATCTACCAGCTCGAGCGCGAGGGAGTCAAAGCTAGCTATTGGCCACAGGCTATAGCACTTAGGTCTCCGACTCCGAGCATTCCATTAGGTCACTTCTGACCATATTGTTCTCGGAGACTGATTTACCGGCGACCGTGGTCCACAGGTTTTCCTGAGATATCTGAGGATTTCTTGCGACAATGACTCACAGTGGACCTTTTTTCTTGAGTATCCCAATGTTGTCGTGTGCGGTGGCGCAACACTCCGGCCTACTAACAAACCTCACATAGGGACGAAGGCGATCAACGCCTCACAAAACCTCGAGAGAGTATGTAAGTATATAGAATAATATCGTGCAAAAATCAGAAATCAAGGGTCTACAGAAGATGGGAAATTGGGAACCGTTATTCGTTCTCAATTCCCAGGCCACGGACCCCGGTGCAGGGTTCGGGTGTCGGTAGCAACGACCCGTCCCTCAGAGTGTATAGTTATATATACCTTCCTAAGAGAAAATCTATTGGACTTGGGAGGAGTAACATTTTAGGTCTTTAGAATTAGACTGAAACTTGACTTGAAAGTTGACAGCCTTCTTGACATGAGCTTCGCTTCCGACCAAGGGAATAGTGGATGTATACCGTGCCTAAGTGCCTTGAGACTCAGCCCTCAGCGCGTACCTTTCTTGACTCTCTGGAGTTTGAACATCCAAGGTCCTCCATGGCCCACGGGCGGACCTGACCGACTCATCCGACCATTTCGTGGTTTCGTGTGAGTATACCATTGTAGTTGCTATCTGTTCTAATTCAAGGACTCTTGCCGTTTTTCCATTCAACTTTGGAGCGTTCCGTTCCCTGTATACATACATTGGTGGTCTTGAGGGATCAACTTGTAGACGGAGTTTAGGACGGTGATTTGAAGAAGCCCGTTCAGATCTAGAGAGAGTATGTTCGAAACTTACTTACACTCCGAACTTTGCGCATCAGACCATTGTCCTTCTGATAGACAGTAAGGCCGGAGGTTATGTTTAGGCTGTGACTAGGATCCTCGTTCAGAAGAGAAGCAAGCAGAAGGATTAACGAACGCAAAACTCAAACGAATGTCAATTTGGTCAAGGTATGATTCGCCACACCGTGGCCCAGTATAACACAAAAATAAAAAAGAAGTGGGTATGGACCGGTCACGGCTGACGCGCAAGTAGTGTGTGTTGCGCTCGGTGGTGGTCGTTCTACATATTGGCTTGCTACTTACACGGCTCTAACAACCCACTCCCATATTCCAAGCCGGTTTTATATCACTTGAGGCTCCTTCGAATCAGAGTTGTGATGGCTCTGTCCCAGCTCTTCATCACCAGAGTAGTTTTTGATGGTCTCAATTTGAACCGTGATCCCCTGGACGGAGTTTTGTCCTCGAGCGCCCTTGGTGGTGCGATCTTGGAGTTGGAGATTCGATGTTGTGTCGTATTGACTTGGGTCGGACCTTCCGCGAACAGTACCCCGGATGAATGCACGAGCGTTGAGAGTGGCGAGGAGGGAATTGGTATATACTGTCAGGGTAGATGGAGTGTTTTGAGAAATCGATCCGGTGAGATAGGGTGTGTGGAGCGACACTTACGACGACCGACTGCAGGGGTGAGAGAAACAAGCAATGAGCGTTCCGTTTATGAAACAGGAGACAAAAGACAACGTACTCGTTAAATAGAAACCGAAATACACAAGGGTGGTAGGAAGTGCCAGAATCTAGGTACACGGATTGTAAAAGGAGTTTAGAATTCGTATACCAGAAACGGGGCCGCGGGATGTCCTCAGACTTACGAAAATGAGTGAGCAACAAGCGCAGGCTGCTGTCAGAATTCCCGTGTTGATTGAGAAGAGCATCTGCAAGGGCGTCAGAAGTCTCACTGAGACGGCATCAAAAAGGAGCTCACCAGACGATTGATGATGTTGTTACTCCACGAAAAACCCGTCTTTGAAAGACTCAGGAAGGTAACCATCTATCCAACACGGGAATGCGACGAGAATGAGATAAAGCATCAACGTCATGAGCAAATGATGGAACGTACCGCAGCAGCAATGGCGAGATCTGCAACCACAGCCGTGACTGACATCCAGTGTCAATGGGAGCACTCAGCAGATCGTGAAGAGGGGGGTAACTTACTGTTGACCGTCTACGGGCACCAGTTTGTATGAGATACATCGACACGAACATATGAGAAGGAAACGCACCATCGAGAGCGCCTTCAGCTTGGTGAACTTTGCAAAGGTATCCAACTGCTGGTCCATCCCTTGGGCGACGAAAGCAACGGTACTTCCTGAATGGTAGCAATGAGTTACAATACTCCAGTATCTCCGCTGTGAAACCACCCACCTAAGTTGGCAAGCACGAGAAGGTACTACTACGAGATCAGCTGCCAAAGTCTACGGGGTTCTTCGCTTGACTAGTACTCACGACGATGCCAGTGATTGGAATGTTTTTGCGGACTGTCGATGTGCCAAAGATCAGTACTCGGTGATTACAATGACGAGAGGCGGCCTACGAGTCCAGATCCGATAGGTGAAGAATGTTTGCACAATAAAGGCAGTAAAAGCGTTGAACAGGATTTCGACGTAGAGACTCCTGTAAACATTATATCGTCGTCAATACTCGTGGAGCATTCTTCATAGCATGGAGTCGAACCAGTCCACTGAGACAGCGAAAACGGTATCGCCGAAGTTCCGTATCGTGTAGATGTAGACTAGATGTGTGTCAATAAGTTTCACGTGAGAGTGACCATGGAGGAAGAAACGCACTGGCATAGGTAATCAAGGCCTGGTGGATGGTGTCGCAAGCAAACGCTGCAGCAACCTGTACAGTACGCGAATGAGTCCAACGATTCTTTGGATCGCACGTGATCAATGAGACTCGCCGTCATCTTAAGCCACTGGTTATCCTTCGGGTAATTATCATAATACCACCATGTTTGAACAACCGTAACCCCCCAGAGAGCCATGGCCAGCACTGTCCCAATGTACAGCCATCCGAAACTAGTGCAAGGTGAGTGTCCTGTATCATGCGAGCGGCAGGAGGAGGACTAACGTATCGTCGAGAGGTGTTGCGTCGGCCATTGTCGATCGGATGTACTGTGGAAATAAAGGAGGGCACAAAGGATGACCGTCGACCTCGCCCTACCCTCCGTTATATCTGTGGGAATGATTGTATTGGAGACCTGGAAGGAGTTTCGAAATTCAGTCTCCTATGAATTAAGTTACGTTGGCCTTAGGTCACTCGCCTAACCTGGGACCCGAGACTCCTAAGGTAAGGAAACCAACATTCCGCGTGGCGTACCGGAATCTCGGGAACTTCCATTCAAGAGCCAGGGAGAATCGACCCCGCGAAAAGTTTTAGCAACCGACCACAAAAAATGATGTTTTCAGTTCATGTCACCACGCAGCACCGCAACAGAGGGGATCTGAATCGTATGTTTAGGTGAACACTGAATTGACGTGGTAGGCCCAATACAGCTCCAAATGGTACAGGGTAAGGGTAATGGCTAAGTAGACGAATCAGATCTTGGAGGTGGCCGTAAGGACAGACGAACAGAGGCTTCGGATTCCAGCAGACTCACAACTGAGTTCTTTTCTATGTGTTGGCGGTTCGCACAACGCGGACGTGCGGCTTTCCAACCACAATGGAGAACCTGCAAGCAACGGAGGCTTATTGACGGTACACGTTTGCTGGGCTTTGTCGACGCATCGCAGTGTGAGTTGATATCAGAACACGGGGATCATCGCCAATACTCGAAGTTGAAACGAATATTAGTGCCGACTAGAACGAACGAAGGGGTCGGATTGGCGATTAAATATTCTCTCCGAGATTCATCAGAACATGGGGACGTTGGCTGAAATGGGAGTTTGTTTGTGAGTGCTCACTAACCGGCTCAATAGCCCTATGGAGCATGCTTCCCCGACAATCTCTATTGCCTTTACCGTCACACATTCCACCCTGGATGAAAATCTGAAGTGAGTACCTTCAACGTAACATCGGGGTTCAGACCCACCACCCTGCGCCATTTTTACCATGCCTTGAAACCACTGTAAGAGCGGCGTC